CATCTGGATACCAAGCGATCTCATCCCCTTTCTGATATTCCCGTTCACTGCAAACACATATATTCAACAATTGCAAAATTCACACCGCAGTATCTCACGTCAATCCGAGCCATTGAAAACTGAAAACCTCAACAGTGCTGAATAGATCTAATTGAATCCAATAAGATCTAGCACCTACCTCATAGGTCGAAATCTGACGGTCACCGATATACTATCTCCCGATCTGGAAGCATCCACTGGCTCGGCAAGCAGCTCATCCGCGGACGGATAATGGACTGGAGTACGATTTCCATAATTTTTTTGATAAGCAGAGTCGCTTCGGCTTGTACTCGCTGTCATCGATCTGGAATTGTACCCAACAGCTGATCCAGAGAACGAGGTGTTCGATGATGATGACGATCGAGGTATGAGCCTCCCGTTCATGAACGACGACGAGGACAATGACGAAGAGAACGGACTCGACGGCTTCCGGCGGTGAAAAGGGGAGCTGCTTCGTCCTCTGGATGAAGACGCCGACATTCCTCTCCTTCCCAATTCACCGATCAGCCGAGCTGGAGAAGAATAAGAACGTGAAACACTGTCAGAAGAGTCACATGGCGTCGTGGAGAACTTTAATGCATTTTGAATTCCTCTGCACGTTCAAAGCTAAAAAGCCAACCAGTAAGTCTGAAGTTTTCAGTGAACTGAGACGACTGTTCTACGTCTGCATCTATGAATACGTGTTGACGACTTGACGGAAAGATAAAATGTCTTCTTCCTCAAAGAGACAAAAAAAGTTGCAGAGATTGGAAGTAGAAAAAGACCGACTGTGAGAGACGACGAGCTACGGAGTCGCAAATTTTTGAAATGCTTTTTTGTTGGAGAATTTTACGTATTTTTGAAATAAAAAATGCTTTTGTGTTTTTGAAAGGCACAGATTCCTTGTTCGCGGTGGAGTGGGTTTTGGGGGTGGGGGTGGCGACGTGGTGCTTCGTGGCATAACAGAAGTGAGAACTGGAAAAGTGGTTTTGTATGTATAATAGTCATAAGAATAATTATTATGTTTGAAAAATGTCTAGAGGCTTAAATGAGCGGGAATAGCAACACATTCTTTGGTCCAATCCAGGTAGACTGCCCTCTTCAGTTAGTACCGTTCCAAATTCTCAATCGACCATACCATTCATCCCGGTAGAAATAATCCTTTTCTCACTCAATCAGTTTTTTTTTATAATCCTTCCTACCCTTAAAATTTTGTCAAATTTGATCGGCACGAGAATTAATAAATTAAAAAGTGTGTGATTGATGTTCGTGCAGGGGAGAGAGAATTAACCGGAACCATAAATCTTTTACTTAAAAGATAAAGTACAAAGTTAGTGGAACATTCAAAAAAGAAAAGTTGACAAAGTTTTAAAAGACGAATGGAGTATTTATTTTTTATATTTATTAGTTTATTTATAGTTAATTTAAATCTGAAATTTTCAGAATTACTATTATTTTTCCAGTAAATACTATAGATATGAACATCGATTTAAAACTAATGTCATTTGTGTGGCATTACTTTTACATCATTATTGTAATATCATTTTTCAATCTAAAGATGACAATGTTATTGTGTATGTTGAGATGTCAATATATTTCAGCTTTCGTATATTTACAACGATGCTAGTACGATGGCATTCCAATTGTAAGATGACACTTGTTCTACTAATTTTTTCATATCTGGAGTGCCCGCCCCAGAGTAGGCCAAGGTGGTGCTGGTGAGTGTGTTGGATCAGCAAATGAGGTACGGCGGCACTGCATTAGGTGGTGTTGACATCGGATGAGATGGTGGCGATGTTGGAAGAGATGGCGTCGGAGATGGCACTGGCGTTGAAGGTGGCGGTGGCATCGGAGATGGCGGTGACGCTAATGATGCCAAAGATAGTGATTGTCATGTGTTAGACGGATGTGGATCGTATTGTTTGTCTTCCTCTCTTATAAGTAAAATTTTGGTTTTACTATTTTATTGTATATTATCAATAAATGGATTAGCTTTTTCATTAACGGTATTCTTGTACTTTACTATTAATTTCCGTGTGGCAAAGGACAAGCGTGATAGGAGTAATATTTTTGTATATTTGATACTGTATATTTTACTCATTAAACGAGAATTCTCTCTATTTGTATTTGTTCACTTGCAAATTTGATAGGAGATTTGTAGGCCTTTCATGTGAGGTTAGAAGATCGAGACCATTAAGTTAAGCTTCCTGTTTATGGATAACCCACATTTGTGACTCTCTTATGTAATGATGTCTGATTTATTAAATTTCGATAAGAGATTTTCAATTTTAAAAGGTATTTCTAAAATAAAAGGGTATATCTATCTAAAATAATACTCCCTATATTGGAGGCAAATCAAAAGCAAATGACTATTTTTATATATGAATAAAAATATTATTTACAAGGAGAAAAAAGTTAAATTATTGAAGCAAAGTTTATTTGAAATGGGTAGGCATTTATCACTTATTCCACACCTCAGTTAGGAACATGACAACGCACATGGTTGCCTGTACCCCATAGCCCAGCTCCCTCTTTTCACATCAAATTGATTGTTGAAATTTCAATTTTGCATACAATAATTTGTACTTTCATGCGGTAAAGCTCATTTATCATTAGATGGTACTAATGTGGAGACGTGTCAGACAAAGAGGCAGGCGTCCTCTAAGTAGCTACTCCGTATTATCTACCCTCATGTTTGATACAATAAATTTGACATATTTTTTAAAGAATAATTTAAAGGAAATTTCGACATAATATTTGAGGGAAAAGTAATAAAGGTAATGAATAATGTAAAAAAATAGAAGAGAATGTGAAAAAATAAGAAAGAGAAATAAAAATAGAAAAGATAAGCCTAATTGAGCACTTTTAAAATGAAAGTTAACAAAAAGGAAAATATAACAAAAATTAAGAGCCCGTTTGGTGATCCCCTTTTTCGGCTTATCAGGCTTATCAATCATTTTTTTCACCAAACACGTAACTTTGATTTTGCGCGCTGAATTTTGTAATAAGCACAAAAAGTAAGGTTGTAGTTACTTTTCTGGCTGTATCAGCTCAAGTTACTGTAGAGGACCATTTTAGCTATTTTTACACATAATTTTTTCTTTATTTTATTAATGAAATATATTTTAAATTTAATTTTTTCATCAATCAGCAAAATCAGCCAATACAGTCACTTCAGCCAGAACTTCATAAATTTCAGCAGAATCAGCCGATTCAGCCGATTTCAGTGTTACCAAACGGGCTCTAAATTACATTCCAAAAAAAGAAAGGTGTAAATAGGGATGGATTTAAGGGGGGCGGGGGCGGTCGCCCCCCTTGGACTTTCAAATTTTTCTACTATATATGTAAAATTTTCATAAAATTTATGTACATTAATTAAATATATATGTTGTTGGGATATTGATCCAGAGGCCCAATACCCGAATCAAGAAGGCCCAAGATACCCGACCCAAGCAACGGGCCATCACTCTATGATGAGTGGATCCAGTGAAGAATTCATGCCGAACGAGATTCGGCCCAAATAAAGGTTGGCCCAGTAAGAAGACATACCGAACGGAGTTCGGGCTATATATCATACTTGCGCCAATTCGACAGCGTCTTCAGCATAGTCCAACATCCCGTTCGAGAAACGGACAACCGGCAAGTGGCCAGGTGCAATTAATGTCAGATTGTGACATCAGCAAGTGGAAACATGGGTGACCAAGTCGGTGGAACAACAGCCAATCAGCACAGGGCAGCCCATGCTCTCCATTAGTATAAATAGAAGGTTTAAAATCATTGTAAGGGTTAGCATTTCAATACTCAGGCTCTAGAATAGCATCATTGCTCTTATTTCTTGTATTAGAGCATTGTTTCCGACCTACCGATCGGGAATTTCCTTGTAATCAGACTGGTTAATTAATACAAGTGAGCTTTCGAGTATTAGTGAGTTCATATTTTATATTTTGATTATACACTTTGATTCTGTATCATTCCTGATATATCCAAAGTTCGTGTTGGGCTTTCGGATCTACGGGATTTACCACCAACATATGTGTTCATCCCCCTTAACTTTTAGTTTTCAATATTAATATATAGTCACATTATGTAATACTTAATTGGAGAGTTAAAAGATGAAACATCTAAAATAATTTACATAACTTAAACAAATAAACAATAGAACAACTCATTGTTTAAGACTTAGGATACCTATTATATAAAAAATCATAGTTTTGAAATGTTTAATTATCCTTAATTTATTAGATAATTAGTACTCGCTTTGTAAAATATCAAACAACATTAATGTGAAAGTATTATTGTATCTAGGAATATGCTTTAGGAATATGCTCTAGAATATGCTTTAGGAATATACTCTAGACATTATTATTGTATAGCATCTTATATAGGAATATTCCATCTTTGTAATATATATATATAGGGCCTTAACCCTCTAATGAAATACACAGAAAATCTTTCTCTCTATTTTAATATCATTTCAGTTTCTATTTCAACATGGTATCAGAGCCATCCATTTCAGTTAAGTTTTTCTTTTCAGATTTCAGTTTAGTTTGTCATATCTCAGTTCAGTTTTCAGATTGTGTTCTTTCTCCACGAAGTTGAATTCAGTCCAGACTCTTCCCAGAACATCTTCCCAGAACATCTTCCCAAAACCTCTTCCCAGAACATCTTCCCAAAACCTCTTCCCAAAATCTTTTCCCAGAACCTCTTCCCAGACTCTTCCCAGAAATTTTCCCAGGACCTCTTCCCAGAACCTCCTATCTCAGAAGCCGGCAACCCTTTTCAAAATCAGAGACTTTCTGTTCCATTTGATTCTAATTTCACAGCCCAGTTTCTTCCCGTTCAGAACATCGCCAGTCCTAGAACCTCAGCAGAACATCAGAGGACACTAGTTCAAAACCTTAGTCCAACATCTATCTCACCTCCCTCATCCTCGGTTTGCCTGCCGCCGGCGACCGGTGATCCAAACTCCGCACGCCCAAAGGGAAGATAGCTGTGAGAGGAGGTCCGGTGGTTGTTCGATCGCTAGATTCGCTGGGTCTCGCATATCTCCAGACATCCGCTCCTTCACTGGTTGTTTGGATGTGCTATCTGCTGGGGTCTCGCATCAGATCTGCGCATCTTTTTTTTGGATTTAAGTTTGGAGCGCAGCAGTCCAAAGCCCAAGCTGGATATTTTATTCTCCAAATTTTAAATCCACAAACGGGAAAGCTGCGGTGAGTCCAGTTTTCACTGAATATTTCAAGTGTTTTATGTTATTTTATTTTTAACCCCCTTCCAAAAAAAAAAAGAAATTAAAAAAAATGTCTTGTACGAGTGGATTTGACAGAGGAGTAATATGCAATTACTGTAAGAAGCCCGGACACTTGATCAAAGAATGTAGAAAATTGTTGTTCAAAAATCAAGGAAATCAGCTTGCTCATGTTGCTTCCGCTACCAGTTCATCCGATGGATCAATTGCTATTTCTTCAGACGAGTATGCCAAATTTATTTGCTACCAAGAAACTCTAAAGCATTCCTCTGTCCCTATCTCGGTAACCGCTAATTCAGGTATTTCAAACACGTGTCTTGTTTCCTCATCCTCGAAATGGGTCATTGACTCAGGTGCCACAGATCATATGACCTGTAATCTTAGTATATTCTCGTCATTTCATTCATATTTACCTACTTCTAGTGTCACTTTAGCTGATGGATCTACCTCACCCGTTCTTGGATCTGGTACTGTTGTTCCAACTTCTACATTACCATTATCGCCTGTTTTGAGTCTTCCTAATTTTGCATTTAATCTGCTTTCCATCAGTAAAATCACTCGTACTCTTAACTGTTCTGTAACATTTTTCCGCGATATTGTGTGTTTCAGGATCTGTTAACGATGCAGATTATTGGTAAAGGACATGAGTCAGCTGGTCTATATATTTTGGATACATCCATCACCAAAGGTATCTCTTGTCTTGGGGTTGGGACTTTGTTAGATGCTCATTACCGATTAGGACATCCATCTCTCCCATTAATGAAGCAAATAAATCCCCAATTTAATAAGATGACCTCTTTACAATGTGAGTCATGTCAATTTGCGAAACACCATCGTACTAGCTTAGGCCCGCGAGTTAATAAACGAGCAAATGCTCCATTTGACCTTGTTCACTCTGATGTTTGGGGTGCTTGCCCGGTTGTGTCTAAAGCTGGTTTTAAATATTTTGTTACCTTTGTTGACGACTATTCTCATATGACATGGTTGTATTTCATGAAACGTCGATCTGAGTTGTTCACTCATTTTTCTTCCTTTTGTGCCGAAATTAAAACTCAGTTTAACGTTCCTGTTCGGGTGTTAAGAGGAGACAATGCCCAAGAATATCTATCTGCTACATTTAAGTCATTTATGCTTCAACATGGCATTATTCATCAAACTTCATGCGTTGATACACCTCCTCAAAATGGAGTTGCGGAACGAAAGAACCGACATCTGTTAGAAACTGCAAGAGCTCTTCTATTCCAAATGAATGTGCCTAAACAGTTTTGGGCAGATGCTGTGTCTACTGCATGTTTTTTGATAAATCGAATGTCATCTTCTGTTTTGAATGGTAAAGCTCCTTATCATTGTCTATTTCCAAACAGAGAGCTTTTTCCTATCCCACCTAAAATATTTGGTTGCACTTGTTTTGTTAGAGATGTTAATCCTCATCTAACAAAGTTAGATCCGAAATCATTAAAATGTATTTTCTTGGGTTATTCTCGAGTCCAAAAGGGGTATAGATGTTTTTGTCCGAGTACTGATCGGTATCTTGTTTCTATTGATGCATCATTTCATGAAAATACACCTTTTTCATCATCTAAGGCAGATATTCATGAGAGTAATGATGATATTCTCATTTACACGATGACTATTCCTGAGTCCACACTTTCGACAAATATTCCACAAGTTACTGTTCATGACCCTAGGCCTCCCGTACATTTGGTATACACCCGTCGACACAAAGCACCTGATCACCCTCCACCGGCGATACGTGTGATTACTTTTCTTGATACTAGTTCGACTCCGATCTCATGTCTTGAACCAGTATCTGCATCTTCAGATCTTGTTTCCACATCAGATCTTGATCTCCCAATAGCAGTACGTAAAGGTACACGGTCTTGTACTCATCCTATTTCTTCATTTGTGTCGTACAATCAGTTATCTCCTGCTTCATGTTCTTTTATTGCTTCCATTGATTCTATTTCTGTTCCCAAATCTGTCAAAGAAGCTCTGTCTCATCCTGAATGGCGTCAAGCCATGGTAGAGGAAATGAATGCTTTAGATCTTAATGGTACATTGGATTTGGTTGACTTACCTACAGGGAAGAAATCTATTGGATGTAAGTGGATCTTTGCTGTTAAGGTTAACCCAGACGGATCCGTTGCTCGGTTGAAAGCCCGATTAGTTGCGAAGGGTTATGCTCAAACCTATGGTGTTGATTATTCTGACACTTTTTCTCCTGTTACTAAATTAACATCTGTCAGGTTACTTATCTCACTCGCTGCAATTCATGATTGGCACTTACATCAATTGGACATTAAAAATGCATTTTTGAATGGTGACCTTAAGGAAGAAGTCTATATTGAGCAACCTCCGGGATTTGTTGCTCAGGGGGAGTATGGTAAAGTTTGTCGACTTCGCAAATCTCTTTATGGTCTGAAACAGAGTCCTCGTGCATGGTTTGGGAAATTCAGTTAATCAATTGAACAATTTGGAATGATAAAAGGCAAATCAGACCACTCTGTATTTTACAAACAAACATAATCAGGTGTCACATTGCTTGTGGTATATGTTGATGATATTGTGATTACAGGGAGTGATAATGCAGGTATTTTGGCCCTTAAGAATTTTCTGCATAGTCAATTTCAGACGAAAGATCTTAGCTCTTTGAAATACTTTCTGGGAATTGAGGTAACACGAAGTAAGAAAGGCATATTTCTATCTCAACGTAAATATGTACTTGACTTACTAGCTGAGACAGAGAAATTAGGGGCAAAACCAAGTACAACACCCATGGTTCCCAACGTGCAACTCACTCAAGAAGGCACACCGTTTGAAGACCCAGAAAGATATAGAAGACTGGTTGGAAAGCTTAATTATCTCGCAGTCACCCGTCCAGATATTGCTTATTCTGTGAGTGTAGTGAGTCAATACATGTCATCTCCGACCATTGATCATTGGGCTGCTGTAGAACACATATTATGTTACTTAAAGGGAGCACCAGGACGAGGTATTGTTTATCAAAACCATGATCACATGAGAATAGAATGCTTTGCAGATGCTGATTGGGCCGGTTCTAAAGATGATCGAAGATCTACATCTGGCTATTGTGTCTTTGTTGGTGGTAATCTTGTATCCTGGAAGAGTAAGAAACAGAATGTGGTTTCTCGTTCTAGTGCTGAATCAGAATATCGAGCTATGGCACAATCCGCATGTGAGATAATATGGATACACCATTTATTGAATGAAATTGAATTGAAGACACCAATGCCTGCTCAGTTGTGGTGCGATAACCAAGCTGCTATACACATAGCAAACAACCCCGTATTTCACGAGAGAACAAAGCATATTGAGGTTGATTGCCATTTTATTCGAGAGAAGATACATAAAGGATTAATCTCTACCGGGTATGTGAAGACTGGAGAACAACTTAGAGATTTATTCACTAAAGCTCTAAATGGGATTCGAGTTGATTACTTATGTAACAAGTTGGGCATGATAAATATCTATGCTCCAACTTGAGGGGGAGTGTGAAAGTATTATTGTATCTAGGAATATGTTTTAGGAATATGCTCTAGAATATGCTTTAGGAATATACACTAGACATTATTATTGTATAGCATCTTATATAGGAATATTCCATCTTTGTAATATATATATATATATATAGGGCCTTAACCCTCTAATGAAATACACAGAAAATCCTTCTCTCTATTTTAATATCATTTCAGTTTCTATTTCAACAATTAAATACAAGACATACTAGTTAAACAGTTTTTAGATCATGTGAAGTGAATTCAAAATTACACAATTCTTTACTTCTTACTTTTTAAAAATAATTTATTGCATAATAAAAAGTTTAACTTATTTTAGGCATTAATACAAATTTAATTAATATACACCATATATAAGAATTAGCAATGTAATATTATTTTAAAAATAATAATCTCAAACATAGTATTGTAATATTAGCAAATCTCCTCATGAGTCACGAACACCCTTGTTGGTAAACAAAATTTGCAATTAAAAAATCAAATCCTTGTACCAATAAGATTCATGTGATTAAACATGGCAAGAGTTATTTAAAAAACATTGGTGGTTGTGCACCTTTTAAACTCTTTATTTTCAAATAATTTGATAAAATGTTATATAACCTCTTTTATTTTCAAATAATTTTTCTTTGATTTGCTATTTCTTACGCTTTAATGTATCAATACTTTTTTCTAAAACACTTACAATTATAAAATCAAAGTTATTTTCAATTGTCTAAACTTAGAATGTAATATATTTAAATGTCATCATGTATGTACCTATGAATCCTACACAATTGAAAAAAATCGCCCTGCTACACTAGAGAAAAAAAGTTTCGCTCCACTACACTAACGGAAAAAAAATCATCCACTACACTAACGAAAAAATTTTCGCCCCCTTGACTCAAAATCTTGGATCCGTCCCTGAGTGTAATGAATATATCATGCGGATACATGAGTGGATAATGTAATTAAACTTGTAAAAATCTCATGAGGGGGAAATGTAATTAAACTTGTAAAAAATTAAAAATCTAATGCAAATAAACCTAATATGTCCCTTATGTTAAATACTACATTTGTTCTTAAATAAGTACAACATGTTGCATTTTACATTATTCGTGTGTTCTACTTTGATAACATTTTATTTATAAATATATTGAAAATTTATTTTTTAAAAATACTATGTATCATTAAATTTGTCACATTGTAGATTTTCAAAAAAAAAATTGTTTTTTATTACTATAGAGAATTGTTTGTATTAACAATCAAATTTGTGTATCGGCAACGTAAAAAAGGATTGTTGGACTTATTTAAGAACGGGGAGCCATAGGTTTTCAAGCATGAATTTTACTTTTTACTTATTCCTTCTTTTGGATTATATGGCCTCTCTTTATAAAACGAAAATTATTCTTTCATAAAACATATGAATCATGATGATGGTTTCATAGTACCCCATATAATTATTTAAAGTCATATGAGACTCTTTTACCATCTTCTTCTCCACCGCTCTAAAAATATTAGTCTTCCTATTGGGAATATACCTCTGATTCTTCTTCACCCCTCTTTTTCACATTTTTAGCACTTTTACAAGACATTCAATTATTCCTCCGATTAACTTTAATTACAAGACATTCAACTATCACGCAATTACCTCACAGTTATCATACAATTAACAAATAAAAAACATCATCATTTGTGCACATATATTGGGAATAACAATTTCATTTGACAATGAAAGTGTACAAGGATTGTGCTAGGTGTACACATTTTGATGTGCACCTTTCATACACTCATCTGTCTCACGCATACAGAGTTATCTGTCAGGCATTTTTCGCGTCACAATGACTAGAACACAATTGCCGCACAATGGCTAAAAAAGTGCCGTACGATTACGAAAAGTAATTGAATCCAAACATATTAGTTTATGAGTGTTTTTAGTACACTCAGTAACGTTATGAAGCATTGACATTGAAACTCCAAATATTCATGTGATGGGGGTAGAGTTAATGGTTGAATGGAGTCTGGGAAAGGTATTGAAGAACTTTTTCAAACAACCCGATACAGGGAAGGAATAAATGCACCACGACTATGTCTTTCTTTTTGTTTGGTCTTTGCTCCTTCTCTGTTTTCTCCAGCTTTGCAGGGGGGAGACGAGGGTGATGGAGCTAGAAAGAGATGAAAGAGCTTAAGCTTGAAGGATCAAATCGACATTTTACATATTTTTAATCCTAAAAGAAGAAAGTGAAAACACTCATATTTTTATATACCAACACCTAAGAGTCTAAGAGCCCTTTTGGTAATTTTGAAATCGGCATAATCGGCTAAAATTGATGAAAATATTGTTAATTGGCTTAAGCTACTGAATTATGGAAAAATTATATTTCAAACACAAATTGTATTAATAAAATAACGAAAAATTTATACGGAAAACAGCTAAAATGATCATCTAAATCTAAAGTAACTTCAACCAATTCACTCGATGAGTAACTTCAACCTTATTTATTTTGATAATTACACTATTCAGCATGTGAAATCAAAAGTCATGTATTTTGTAGTAAAATTTGTTGATAAAATTGATAAGATGAAAATGGAAGCTACCAAACGGACTCTAATACTCTTAATGTAGGCAATTTCACTTTCATAAGGCCCACAAAGATCGATTAATATACTGATAATGTAACACAATAGAGCATGTTTACCTTAAATGGTGATATTCATTAAAACATTATTTAAGATGTTTCTTGCACACGGATCACATACTTATTAAGGTTTCACAATTGAAATGTGAAAATTTATTTATCTTAGACATTATAGAAAAAGTGTATAACTTTACAATAAAATAGTGTTTGAAAACAAAGGTGATTTTAAGAAGTGTATATGGGACGTACGTTGGATAGAAAATACTTTATGAGATATTTTTGAGATAAAATGCTATAGAAAATATGGGCACCATTTTCAACCAATGTCCAGTTTACAATAAAATAGTGTTTGAAAACAAATGTGATTTTAAGAAGTGTGCATGGAGCGTTAAATAGAATATACTTTATGAGTTATGCAAAAACACATGACTTAAAATACTCACTAATTCTAACTTAAAAAAAACCGATGGTGCTTTTTAAGTTGCAATGAGTATTTAATTTTACCGATTTACTGTATTCGATATAATCGCGTTAATAACCCCAATTCCCAATTCACACAAAAAACTTATCCAATATACACCTCTCAATCAACAAAATCAAAACAATATACAGTCAGATTCAACGCATGTTTGGATATTTGGTATCGTTCATCAGATACCAGAGAGATGGGTCATGGCGGGAGATATATGATTAATATGAATATTTGCTGCACACACATTAATAATAGACAAATTGGATTTGCAACTGCCAAGCGAGGAACACATATAAACCATATCGAAGTTCATGAAGCATTTACAAACATATAACAAAATAGAAACAAAGCTTCCGAAATACAATACAGTCCAGTCCAATCAAGCCTATCTTTAGAGAAAGTTGAGAAAATGTTCTCTATAGTTGAGTAGTTGACTATAGGGTTGGGAAAAACAGAGCATCACTGGAGCTGCATGCTCATCATTACATAATGGATGAGGAAGATATTACACACAACAACATATATAACCTCACTGGCTTAGAAAACTTCAGCCACAACCTTACTCGCAAGAACACGTTCCCTTCTCTCTATATAACCATAAGGGAACCATCCAGCTTTGCCTTTGCATTCACCTTCTGCCCAGCCATTACTTGAAACCTATATAGATAACATAATGATGTGTTGATGTACATTAATTTTCTGAGTGCACAATGAAGAGTCTGATTATTTTAAGACACAACATTGTGGCCCAACTCTACAGTAAATTGTTCCAACTGTCCCAGATAAGAGTCATGTAATATTTTGAAAGGTACAAGTATGGAATTACATTCATACTTATAAATATAAGTACTTCATCCGATCCCTCAAAACTTGGCCAACTTTGGCTGGCATGTTGAATAAGAAAGTACAATCTGTTATTTGAAAGAGAAAGTGAAAGTTTATTGTAGGGCTGAACAAGAAAGTTGGCAATGTTAGTTGGGCTGGAGGGCAGGAGTATATTTATTAGTTCAACTTAATGTATCATATTTCACTGGTCCCGCAGCGTCTTTGGAAAACTATTAGAAAATAAAATAAGGACAAAACATAAAGACAGAAAGCCGAAGAAAAATTACCATCGGCCTCAGCAGGAATGCCCAAATCCGGGCCATCGGCCTCCTCAAAGGTGGTGGTCATCCTCGGCCAGAGTTGGAGGTCATCCTCCTTATCTCCATACAAGTGATATCTGAAGAAGCCGAGGGCCGTCATCTTGTATTCAGTGACGTAATCTTTCACGCTCCTCGGCCCCCCTTCCAGGAAAGCCTCCACCTGAACGTCCAAAATAGAGCTCTTCGGCGGGTCATGGAGATTGAACCTCCCGGTATGGCCGAGAGAGGGGAACTCGGTGCCACTCTCACCAATGGACACAAACACGAACTTGCTCTTCCACCATGAATGGACGTAGGCAAATCCGTGAAGCTCCTCTTCCTCGGCAGCTGTTGAAGAGTAGCATAGGCCGCACAGTTCTTGTGGCTTCCTCGGCCGATCTGGTACAAGTTCATGAATAAGGCCGTGGTCGGCCTGTAGCCCAACTCCTCACACCGTAGCAAGAAGCCCACTATCAAGGAATAACTGTTCGGCGTCAGCAAGGCCGGAGGAAGCCCCACCATGTCCAGATACTCAATGACGAAAGGGTGAAGGGGGAACCTCAACCCCTTAGCAAAACTCATCGGGTATACTCCAAAGTATCCCGGTGGCGGAAGTAGAACATGGTCCGTCGGCCTGGGTGCCCTAACCCGCCCGAACGGCCCCACGTACATCTGGGCGACAAGATAGTCGGCCGCACTGCTCTCCGGCTTGATCAGGAATATGTTGGTGAGGTCCAGGTAGGAGAGGCCCGGCCCATTCTTCGGCCTCCTCACCCTCTTCGGCTTAGCAGCTCCCTTCACGGCAGACACCGGCCTCGGGCACGGAACGGCAGCAGAAGTGGACGCCCCGTCCAGCGCTCGGGACGCGCCTACGTCCTCACCCTCTGAAGAGGAGGCGGACTCCTCGTCCTCGCCTTCCTCTCCCACCAGCTCTTCGGATTTGTAGGGGCTTAAACGCTCTATCTCCTCTTCAAACTCCTCGAGCACCTCGTAGTCAAGCGACCTCGTGGAGGGCTGGTCGTCGTAGGGGTAGTAGTCCTCGTTCAAGCTCTTCATTACTACTATTACGGGCTTAAGGAGAACAACTTAAGATCTAAAGGTGTTTAAACGCCTAACACTAGATCACCTACCTAGGAAGCAAAGTATGAAAAGCGAGGAAGATCGTGATGAACACTAACCTCGAACAACGAAGAACACGAAGAACAGGCTTGGGAGTTTCTCTCTCTAGAAAATCGGCCAGCACTTCGACAAATTCAGAATGCAAATATGGTTCCTCGTCGGAGGGGAAGGGGTATTTATAGACCCCCCACCAACGGTCACTACACGTGGCACTCTCCCAATGGCCACATCAACGGCCACCACTGGGAGGCCACCACGTCACCAACGGGCCAGGACCAACCCATATCAACGGCCCACCGGCAAATCAGACTCTACGGCCTACACACGCTAGCGGCTTTACAACTGCCAGCAAGCGCCCACAACGTCCCACTTGCTCACCAAGATCACAAATGCCAAACAATAAGAGGATGGCAACGGCCAGGAACGTAACGGCCACAGAACAAAGGGGACAAATAGTCCACAGCCTTCGGCTCCTCGTAATAACCCTTGATGATAACTCTCTACAAGCGATCTGCGCACAAGGGTTCTCCCACAGGGTTACCTTGGCCAGAAAATCGCCATGAGAGTTGGATTCAGGGGGACTACGGCGAGACCGCTTCGGCCAGGGACTCAAGCAACTCCTTCACCCCTCACACTCTTCGGCCTGAAGCAGTGGGGACTGGGGGACTACACCGGCCTCAACAAAACAAAAGAGTGCGAACAAGGTAACCACAAAACATGGCCACATCATCCATACAGCACAACGGAACTTCATCGGCCAAAGGCCCATAACGTCACTAGCAACGGCCAACAAGCCACTAGAGGCAAGGACACTCACCGTCCTCCGCCAACGATTAATCTTGACGGGCTCTTCGGCCAAAAACACGAAGGCCAACCAGCAACGGCCAAAAGGAGTGCGCAAACACCCTCATCGGCCACACAAAGGAAATGAGGCCATCGTCCTCAAAGCAAGGAACAGCCTCAACGGCTTCACCGGCCCAAACATAAACTTCAACCACCAACGTCCAGGAAAGGGAAAGCGCGCCTTCAACGGCCACCATTGAAAGAAGGACACTCATCGTCCCAAAACAAATTAAGGAAACAACGGCCTCCCCGCCCACAGCGAGGAACAGGATCACCAAAGAGGAAACAACGCCAACGCCGCAACGGCTAACGGCCTGGAAATGCCCGCGTCGGCCAAAAGCAACAAAGCACAGAAATCTACTCTCCTTCACTTCGTCTACGTCTCAGCTTAGAGAGTGGGGGACTCCTGATGGAGTATATGGGTCTGAGCCCCAGGACCCACATACTCGGAAGAACAGAGCACAAGGCACAGGGTGGCGCCCTCGTCGGCCAGGATGCCCTCGTCGGCCGAAAAGAGGCCAACTCAGATTGTGGCCCTGAGTCCAAGGAACCCGGGTGCCCTCGTCGGCCGTGCCCTCGTCGTCCACGCCCTCGTCGGCCACGAAGACCTCCCAGAATCGGATCCTACACTTACTCATTTGTAAAGCCCATTAGAGGCTTTGTATTCGGCCCAGTAACGGTCCAGTTGTAAATGGGCCTCCCAAGCCCAAGGCTTGGGAGCCCAACCCTAATTTTCTCTATAAATACTCCCCTTGGGAGTAGTTATAGGGGTTACGAAATCATTCTATTGAAGCATATTACTGCACTTCTCTCTCTAGCTCTCACTTCTCTCTAGATATACTCTATCAGAAATATAACTCTCTTTTTTTACACAAAAACCGTTGAAGCATGGAGACTTCTGAAAAAATGACTATTGCTTGACCACATGTGCCTTATTATTTACTCTGTATAATATAAACTACCATATTACAACACACAAACACACACAGAAGATGCAAAATAAAAAGTTTGGGAAACTATCAAACCTTTCTAACAACAATACAATCTCCGGCTGACAAACTAAGCTCCACATCAGATTCAGCATGGAATGAATGCAATGCCTATATCAGATCCATAAAGGGTGATCAGGTAGATGTGTTAAAAGTGAAGTAACATCAAATTCGCTTACCTCTCCAAGAAAATAACCCATGCTGTCAGTTGCACCATTTTGCATTGGAGAAGTAGATACACCATTTATTTCTTCATATGACGGGGGTGGAGGCATGCTCTCTACTTTAGGAGTCGGAGCTTCGATCCTTTGGCGCTCTGACGTCATCTGTCATAACAAAGAGAAAAGGAATAGCTTAACGATGAACTTTTGAAACCTTATTGGACAGTAGAAAACTAAAATGGCATCAAACCTCTGATTCTAGTTGATCAAGTATCTGAAGAACTTTATAGTGGTAAGCACGTTCTGATTCGACCTGATGATAAATGGAAACTAAGAGTCACAAATTTATGGTACTTGAAAAATACACAAATTACTACCCTCTCCTAAAGAGTCTTCTCTGACCAATGTACACCTTTTAAATTTCACAAGGTGCAACTGTTCTAACTCATGAATCATACTTTTACTTTTAGAAATTTATTTGTAGGTTTAAATAAATCCAAGTCTTTTAAAAAATTTATTTATAGGTTTAAATGAATCTATGATAATGTAATTTAACTTGTCTGCAACTCTGTTTTGCAATTTTTTAAAAATTGCATAAAAAATTGCCTTAACTGGTTAATAACAAACTGATTTTTTTTTTTTTACAAAAAGTGTCTGAAAGAGGTTTTTTGGGGTAGGGATAGTAGTAGTTTTTTTACAAAATACTACTCGTAGTTTTTTTTCAGTAAGCTACCATGGAAATTAAACGTTGAAGTGTCAATCTTTGCTGTTGTCCTTCAACAGCAGCCATTGCTGAAGCAGCTTCCTTTCCCAATATAGCAGTATTTGACTTCAGATCTTGCAATTTTGATTCAGCCACTTCCAGTTTCATTGCCATGTCAGGGTTTCCATTTGCTTCCCTCAGTTTTGCTTGCCGTTTGAAAACTTCAACAGCCTAACTAGGAAGGAGAGCACATAGAATTAAAAAAAAAATGTACTGGACTAGATTTAGACACAGCTCAGCTTATGTGCATCATATAGGTAATCGAGTACTGCAGAAAAGTGCCACCTTTAAAATGTCCAAGGAAGGCTTGAATGTTAAGAAATTAGAAAGAATGGAGAAATGGACTCCTAGAATGAGCTTAGCACCAAAACATGAACAAGTAATTTAGAAGCATGGCAAATACACTACAACATGTTTGGTAGAAAGGTCAAATTCACGCATGTTTGGGAGCATATTAATTTCCAAGTGCTTCAAAATCTGTAAAAAAGTATGATTAAAAATCTTTTACCCATCAAGGTATTTGCAACTCCACACGATTTGGAATATCCCTATGATGTGTGGGGCTGGGTTATCTACTCGGCGAGTACTCGCAACTCGGGTACCGACCTTGTCGAGTAGCTATCTGACTCAGTCCGTGTTTTATTTCCGAGTTACTCGCCGAGTACTCGGCGAGTTTGTCAACTCGATGAAGTTTTCAACTCGGCGAGTACTCGGTCTAACTTGGTCCCCCTTTAAAATTGAAAAACTAAGTTACAAAACCTAGGTTAAACGGAGTTCCTGACATCTACTATCCCCCAGAGCTGTGACTATGATCTCTCAATAAGTTCCCATCCTCTTTCTTGTATCTTCCCCTCTCCCCTCTCTCGTTTCTTCTTCTTCCGCCCTCCCATCCTTCTTTGCCAATTGTTCTTTTCTGCATTCTTAAAATATCACCATCTTGATTGTTTAATATTGGTGCACACGTATTTGTTGATATAAATAAATTATTTTCACTAGTACGACTATATATATTATACTTCGTACTACGTAACTTTAAATTAATATCACTATATTGATTGTTTATTATGACACATCATTGATCGATACACACTGATACACATCATCTAATTGAAAGAATATGCTAATCCAACACTTAGAGAAAATCAGATGATTTAGGATGGACATGGGGAGAGAACAAAGATCCTAGCAAATTATTAGATGATTGAGTTTTCTAGAAGACTTAGAATGTTTATGACTTTTGCTACTCCATCATTAGGATTTCTATCATTTTATTCATTTCTATGCATTTCAAGACAAATTTAAGACTATTATATTTCTATAATCTCATGCACCTGTGCTATTAAATTTAATAATTACAAGCCCGAGTAGTCACCGAGTAATCCCGAGTAATCGGTCCTACTCGCTACTTGGTCCTTGACCGAGTTACTACCGAGTAGCGAGTTAACTACCTAGGTGTGGGGACAAACCCTAGCTACATGATCACACATAAAAATAATAAAATACACACCCTTTTGACTAGTTTAAAATAAAATGAAACATAAGTTTTATTATGGCTAATTATATCAATAATTTAGGATGATGTCATTTGGGTCATCGTAGAAGACTAGAAGTAAATCCAACTCAATTTCATAGTTAACCAAAAATGCAGTATTTCATATTCTGAATGCTATTGTTTGTACGAACCAAATACAATAATTTGAATTCCTGTTCAATTCCTTCTGAATTCTAGTCCTATCGAATTTAAATCTCATCACTCGCATAATTCCTTCATGTCAACAAAATAACCAGTAAAAAATTGGAACAATAGGCGAAGATAGGAATAAGGACAAAAACAGCCATAGGAAAAAAGAACAACTGAACAACCATCACAAGATTAGGGCAAGATTGCTCAAGCATTCCTACTTTTGTTCCCCATCGGCACAAAACATTTATTCCAATGGTGTGGGCAATGAAAACTTTTTCACATCTAAGAGGGAAAAGTGTTCCCTAAGGAATCTTTTGTATTCAAAACAGAATAATATTTCTGCTTTGAGAATAAAAATGGAATGGATTAGACATTCCTGGGTAGTGGGTACCAAACATGCCATCAAGAAGTTAAACAGCAATTTCAGTAGTAAGTAGTAACACCAAAGGTTTTGATATTGACATCAAAGTGTTTGGTGTCTCTAGCAAGTAGCAACATTCTCATTCTTTCATAATAAGTCATGTTGACTTGGATTTGCATGCACTGGGTAGACATCTTTCAGCAGTGTGTCACAGCAAGTGGGAGCATAGCTGCATAGGACACACTTCAGGGCTCGAAAAATGTTTAGAAGGGAAACCAGGACACATGAAATATTTAAGAGACCAGGAAAAGCATATCCAACAACAACAACACCCAAGCCTTAATCCCGGTCAGCTAACATGAATTGACATATGAAATCGGAGCTAAAAAGATAAGATAAAGATAAAAAGGGATAAAAATGATACGATATAAAGATAAAGAAAGAGAAAAAAAGATAAAAAAGATGAAATGAGATCAATCTTCCACATGTATACTGTGCTTCACTTCGCTCTCTCCGAAATCACTCTCATCCAACCCGAGAAGTAGTATATCACTCCTAAATCCTCAGACCCACGTCTATTTGGTTCTTCCTCTTCCTCTCCTCCCCACCTCTCAACTCATCTACTAGGTGCATCACTCAGTATTATATGCACATGGTCAAACCACTGCAATCAAGATTGCGCATCTTAATCAGGAAAAGAAAATATTTAATTTAATTTAACCCCACCTGTGCTTCCGCCTCTTGTCGCATTCTATCATATCGTTGTGCAAGGTGACGAGCATCTTCCAGTGGAGCTCCCATTACCATAGCTCTTAATGGTTCTGCAACCTGGTGAACACAGTCAGTTGGCACATTTAAGCTATTGTTGATAACACCTCCCATTGTGTAGCAGATATGTGAAAGACAGAATTTATATGTACATAAATAAAGACATTTGTAAGGTAGGGTGGCGTAGAAGTTTCTTTAATTAAAATGGTATTTACTAAGACGAAACAACACATTAAGCAAATATTCTTCATTATCAATTATAGGATATGTAGTATAGTGGCCTCTAATAAAGTACTTATCAAACAAGTAAGCTACATAAAAGGAATAAAGAAATGTTATAGGCTATGTTTTAACAGAAAAACAGATTTATTCCACTACTTTTGGTGAAAAACTCATGCTTCAGGTTTCTATGTGGCTAGCGATCCGACCTACTCCATTGTAGGTGGCATTTCTATGTCTGATCATAGGATCTGTCCGGATGGTTTTATTGGGGTTGCATTGTTTCAATAATTGTAAGCATTGACTTCTTCATTAGCAATATATAATCATTTTCCATTCAAAAAGGGGAAAATAAGAACGCATGCTTCATGTAAATCATGCTGCATGGGTTTCAAGCACTGAAATAAATAAAAAACACTGAAATATCAAAAGCATGAAATTTGGAAGGAAACCTAGAGGACACACCCCAAGGTCTGCCTTTATGATGATTGATGTTGCAGTTCTGATAGACAATATCATTTCATAAAAATATGAAATTAGAAAGAATAAAAATAGGATCACTATTATTTTCAAATAATGAAAAAGGTATATCCATAGACAAAAGGCCTGGGAGCATTTCAAACTATTAGCATGCCACATTTTAAAAATAATACTACCTCCGTCCCACTAAGATTGGGACATGAGGAGGTGGTACAGTTATTAAAAAAGTGATTTTATATGGTTGATATCACATTGATAAAGTAAGAATAACGTAAGAATGATTCAGAACCATACAAACTTTACCAAATTTAGTATGAGACAATCTTAGCGGGACGGAGGGAGGGAGTATATAATAACACAACAAAGCTGTTTGTTTTTCAATTCCATTCCACTTGCCAAATATAGGCAAAGTGAAAATTAAAAAAAAAACACTTCAATGATGTTACCCTTGGTGGCAAGGATCAGACTCTCATCAGAGTCTCTTCATCTTCTACAAAGTGATTAAGAATTCAACAGCTATTATGATTATTACTAACCTGTGTGCCCAAGGCTTTCAAAAGATTTCCGCGTTCCTTCTCCATTTGAGCACGGGCTCTTGAAAAACATAATGCAGCTCTTGATAATGTAGCCCCACTTGTACATGTATTCTCGGACCCATATTTTCTGCTCTCCTCTGAGAGTCTAGTTCCTGTATTATGATTGCATCACCATTAAAAATTAAAACTACTTCCAAGTTTGAATAATAGAAGGGAAGCCTTAGTACACTGGTTACAATGTTGCTGTGTGACCGAGAGGTCACGAGTTCAAGTCTTGGGAGCGACCTCTTGTCAAAATGACCAGGGAAGGCTTCCCCCCTTTCAAGTTTGAATAATAAACCAATAATATAAATTCATACAAAAATGTACCTATCTCAACTTGTTTAGACCCAGTAACAATGTAGTTTTCCACACCACGAACAATATCCCTTTGGAAATGCTGAAATTCATACAAAAATGTAATGATAGAAAATGTAGTGCAACAATTCAAATATAGGTAGTGTAATACTGAATCTAAAAATTTAGAACTGTAGAGCTACCTGAAGAGTTAAGATTGTAAAATGTATAAGGCATAAACAGCAGCACCAGGGAAAACTAGTTTTGAAATTCAAAATTGTCTTGACAAATACCAAAAATAACACTTGAAAATAGTTATATATGTAGAAACTGAAGACTTGGGGAACTGGGAACACAAGCTTTACTTAAAAACTAGAAACCTTGTGCAGTGAAATATGGATCTATGAAGAACCTGAGATATTACAGACATCAAACCTTGGCAGCACGAGTAGATATGTATAGCTTTTCCAGTTTCTGATGCTGGTGGAGTTCAGATTCATCTGCTCCAGCATGGTCTGAACCGCCAAATCCCACAGCTCCAAACTGCTTAAACACAGCCTGCAATAAACAATCAAGAGCTATGCATCATAATAAATATGTCAAACAACAAGAAAAAAATGTTCACATCATAAATGCAACTAATATATCGGAATATGTAAATGATGAACTGACAAAACCAGGCCACAAATTATTTTCTAGAATCTGAATACAGTAATGTACATATTGCAGTTTGTAGCATAAACATGAACCTATTTAATTATAAGGAATATGTTGAAAAGATAAATTTGTGTTTGGTCAAGTACACATCAAAAGTTCTACTTCTAAAATAGATAAGTTCTAATCAGTGTAATTACATGTAAACTATAAGTCTATAACATTAATTTTCCATTTCCATCAAAGTATGGTGTCTACCTAGCACTGTAGTATTTTGTAATATGTACTATTTTACCAAGAGTTATTGCACAAATGTTTCTTGCATAACATCGTATAGTATTTTTTTTAAATTGTCGCACCAAAGATTTAAATCACAAAAAGTATCCACAAAATATGTTATAATTTGATTTATATAAGCTTAGCAAACTTTACACTTAATCCCCCACCCATGCCTATATTAAATAAAAATCATGGGTCCACCTCTGACAAGACACATTTATTCAGCTAGAATTTGAAATTCTTTAGGTTTGATGATGTATTTGGAGTTGTCTGAACAGCATTATTAAGTCATCACATTCCCCAAACTTATTTGAATGTCCTCATATACACAATTTCACTTACCAGAAGATTTACACTTCACACTTACTTACTTCAAAAAACATATTCTCAATAATTGATGCTTAGTCCACTCTTAGCTTGCTAGAGCAGGTTAGCTCAAACAAACAAGCATAGAGTTAGCACCTAAAGGCCACAGAACGTAATCAGATAAGATGCATCCATACAAAATTACATATACGCATTATAAGGTGGGTGTAAACATTGATTCATCCAAATTAAAGCTAATCAAATCATTTTATGAACTTAAAAGTATAAGATGGAAAATTTATAATGAACAGGCGCACTTCCACAGAATTCAATCCAAAAGAAAGAAAATCCACCATTCAGTAGACGTGAGGGAAATAGATGCATAAAATTTTTTAACAGATCGTTTGAACTGATCAAAACATAACTGCAGAGCTTAAAAGTGTGGAGTGAAAGATTGAAGAAATCATATGTCCAACAAAATAATAACATTAACAGCTTGATATCAATCCAAATAGGCATACTATTAGTCTATAATTGTTCTACATTGTATATTGTACTCCGTGTGTAATATACAATTATATGTTTGCAGGTATAAAGAGATCGCACTTGTTGTTGCCGAGCGACCTGTTCCCTTAGCCGCGTAGCTTGCTTTCTTATTGCATCCATTCACGACTCCTAGATGCGTCTGATATCAGAAGGATGAGGCAAAGGAGAGTAGCGTCGACCAAAGAGATGGTGGAGATCGGTTGCGACGAAGGGGCAATCTTGTCCAGATGCATAAGGCCAACCGGGATTCGGCACCGGTCGTTTTCAAACTATAAAATCTTCACATAGGTTCATTTACTCAAAAAAAAAGTGTCACAAATATAACTTTATGTTGGACGGTAGGTATGTGGTGTCAACAATCCGTCAGCCTTCCGGTGTAATCGAAACGTATGGTGCTTTGCCTGTGCTATAAAGGGGGAGAAGCGTGCTACACTTTTAGAGATTTCTTTTAATGTAGCGGTAAACGCAACAATCCACAATTGGTATCAGAGTCAAGGTCACGGGTTCGATCCTCGACAAAAGCATGCTGCGCAGTTGAGGCTGACATGTGGTGGGGGAGATTGTTGGGTCGCGGGTATGTGGTGCCATCAATCTACCAGCATGCCGGTGCAATCGAATCGCGTGGCGCTTCGCTTGTGCTATAAAGAGGGAGATGTGTGCTACAATATAAGTGATTGCTTTTAGTGTAGCGTTAAGCGCAACGATCCACACTTTACTTTAAAAATTTGAGCAGATGAGGTCTAATGACCTGTTAAGAACCGCCTAATCACGGTAAATGCTTACATGTCCTGATTTTAGTAAATCTTTCATTTTTATTCCATGTCGGCCCCTTATCGTTGATTTTAAAAGACGACCAAGTCAGGCCTTACGTTCATTAACGACGGTCTCCCAGAAGAAGCTAGGGTTCATCTCAAATCTTACTCACGTCAAATTCTTCAGGCTTAGCATGTCTTCAACTTCATTCACCTCAAATCCAAGGATGAGCTCTAACCTCTACTACGAACCTGTTGTTTATTGTTACTGTTGATTAAAAGCACCTTTGTGTGTGGGAAAGGAAAGTGGCCGCAAGTTCTATGGGTGCCCACGGTGGAAAGTAAGTGTTTGTGAACTAGCTCTACGAAATTGTTTTTCATTTTGGGGGATTTTGTGGGGAATAATTTATTTAAATATATTCTTTATCGATTTTTAGTTTGGAGGAATATTTTGGTTGGGGTGGTTATGTGAACCGATTGTATACATATGTGCACATGTTTTTATTTTCATGATTTTATACATAGGTGCAGGGAGAAGAATGCAGGTTTTTTTCTTGGAAAGAAGAAAGTGATGCTAAATGGGAAACTTCACGGTTGAGCTGGCAGGAGGGCAAAAGGCTAGTTTTTTAGTTAAGAGCTGAAGTTCGTGAGTTACGAGCAACGTTGCAATCTGAAATTCAAAAACGGAGGACTTATATATGGTTGACTATAATTGTAATTGCGTTTTTTGTGGTAGCAATGGCTATGATGTTGTATGTAATACAAGGAAAGAATTAAATTGTGGAATTGTAATTGTGTAGTTCTTGTAGAATTGTAATTTTGTAGTTCTTTTAATCTGCAGTTTGAATTTCTAAAGTAAAGGCTTGTGCATTTCAATTTTGTTTAATGATTTGTTTACACACATGTAAAAAACATTTGCCATTTTTGACATGTTTTAATCAGGAATCTGTCAATATATGCTCAAGAATAAATACCCAATAATTGTGATACATTAGCTGACTGTTGCTAACAACTTTTAGATGTCAAAATCAATTTTACATGTGCTCTAACCGCTGTTAATGGCTGGCATTTGCTCTATGAAGATGCTGCCACAATATTTTTTACATTAATTTGATGTAAAAAAAACAGTTTGCTATCATGCATATATGCAATATTTATGAAATGAACCATTCATAATAAAGTGCAATGGCTGAGTGATATATTAACAACAATTATATGTTAGCTTAGAGCCATTTGATATATCCAAAATACTCCACTATGGAAGCTATCAAAATTGTGAGAGACTATCAACTAAATTTCTTTACTTTTCCTCTGTAATTCACACCCAGACCCAGATATGGCAGCAAGACTTTAACAATGTTTGTTTTTTTTCTCTCCTGTTTTTGGAGAAAAAACACAGAAATTGAAAGAAAGGAATAGCATGACATCAGGCGTTTAGGAATGTGTATTAACAATAAAAATATACTCCAGCACAATAGCATGCTAATCATTCCCTATTCAGAGCATTGTTATATTGTTAAAAGTATATGGTTCTAAGAGGGAGAAGACAATTGAAAACAACCAAATGTTCTGGGGAAGAAATCATCATTTCCCAGTAACCACCAAGAATAATGCTAGTAGTAAATATCTCAACCAGTTTCCAACTGTCAGGACGAGGAGATGGCTTCACCCTATCTTTCAAAATAGTCATTATAGTACCATCATTCTGAATGGCAATTATCAGCATCAGTAAAGGATGACAGTTTCACACAAGTGCAATCAAAATAAACTCTCATTAAATACAAAAACTCTGGTTTTATTCGCGTACTTTTCTTCAAGTCAAGCTTGACTTACTATCTTCAACTTGAATTTTTCATTGCATCTGTGTGTCCATACCCATATCTTTATCTGGAAGCATTGGTACTATTTTGCCCATGAAATAGTGCATCTCAAAGGAGAATTCACACAACATTCAACTTAAACTCTCATGGGCCCATTCCTTAACCATCTAAGATCCCTCTTAAAATGAACTGGATAGTTTATTATAGCAGTTTTGAACTCCCTTGCATCTTCAAACAACATTCCCAACTCAAGCTCTTTGGAATCTGAATTTCGATTGTATGATGGACATTTGAAATTCTTCTTCACTTTTGAATCCACTGGATGTCCCTCTTCATTTTAAGAATCTGAGTGCAAACTAGGGGGTCTTATGTCACGCCTTGGACCGCGTCTGTGCCACGTAGACAACCGTCGTACAATCCAATAAGAACAACAACAGTTCATCCCTATTGTTTGATACAACAACGTCCGTGCCAAACCGATTAGTAAACACATACAATCAACATCAATATCATAATCAAACAAATGTGAAAATAATATATGTTTGATACTTAGCCACACGTGGAAAACATAGGCACACAGCCCCAGAATGTTTTAATAGAAAACATTGTTTGAAATATCCATGAGCATAATTATAAGTTCAAATCGAAATGGGAAGCACGAACCACACCTTCCTTATTTGACAATCACCCTATGCAAAGGTGCAGGTAGAAGGAGTGCAGCCTTAACCTGAAAAATAGTGAGCCCCCCGGAGGTGTCAGTACTTCACAGAAAGAAGTACTAGTGACAAGCAGACTATATGAGGAATAATTAATGTTTCAGACACAAGACCCAAAAATAGGGTGATACATATATATAGTATATAGATGTAACTCATCCACCCGATGATACATACTGTATATATACTTGTAAAATACTTAACTCGTAGGTCATTTACATTTGAAGGGTATTTTAGAGATAAGGTCCTTAATTACCCGACCTTTCTCATCCTTGTCCCGAATGTCTATCTCTCTAGCTATATTCTACATTCCTACTATACTACCGAGTGTTTTAGGATCATTTACCGTCTAAGGCCATCAATCCAACCTGGAGTATTTAGGATCATTTACCGTCCAAGGGTACTCAATCCCAACCTGGAGTATTCTGGATCATTTACCGCCCAAGGGTACTCAACCCCAACCTGAAGTATTATGGATCATTTACCGTCAAAGGGTACTCAACCCCAACCTGGAGTATTCTAGATCATTTACCGTCCAAAGGTACTCAACCCCAACCTGGAGTATTCTCGATCATTTACCGTCCAAGGGTACTCAACCCCAACCTCGAGTATTCTGGATCATTTACCGTTCAAGGGTACTCGACCACAACCTGATTTCTATCAAATTCTAACTTGGATATGGCTAACCTTTTATTCCTCCAACTATGGACAATACATAGCCCTGCCATATAAAAATCCTTAGTAACCAACGTGGACGGGTCCCACCCGAACGGCCCACGTATACTTACTCAAAACTGCATATTAGATGTTTTACCTAATACTCGGTCGGGTATCCAACCATACCCAGTCGGGTATGGTGAGGCAGTAGCCCCTGGGGCTGTATTTATCTAATACCCGGTCAGGTATTTTCCTATACCCGGTCGGGTATAGCCTTTGACTTGGCGGTCAACGCACGTTTGACTGTCCAAACGAAGTCCGATTAACGTAAAATTTTATACACATGTACTTCTTGACGTTCTTAATCCAAAAATACCTTTTTGGATCCCTGGAATATCATACATAATAATTTATCACATTTTTAATCATCAAACATATATAACATGCTTTTCAACTATGTTTTATATATAATCATGGCATAAACAAATACTTGATTATCTTTAATCATTCCATAAAACATGTTCTTGATTACTTTAGGTAATCTCATGCCTCGTGCAAAAGTTATAAAGAATAAAGCCGTCTTCTCACCTTAAATGAAGCTTTAATGCGTTCCACCCTTCTTGGTTGAACTCTGGCGAAACTCCGGCGAGCTTTGGTGAACTCCGAAGAAACTCCGGTGAAATATTCCAACTCCGTGGAAATACTAGGAACACCTTAGACAAGTTCCTAACAAGGTTTTATCACCACAAAGACCATATTAATACAAATAACCTCTAAAAGGTTATTTTCCGGTGAACCGGTCACTCTAGCTTCTATGTCCGTTCTTGGACTTAGAACTACCTTCCAACCCCTCATTCTACACTTCTAAACATTTAGAAAAATCCTAGGGGTCCTCAATATGATATATATGTCATATGATAGATAATAAAATAGAGGAAATGTTATTATAAGGTCATTACCTTAATCCTTCACACTTTTCCTATCTTTTTCCTTCCTTAATCTTCTTCTTTGAACCCCTATGGCTTGAGCTCGAGTAGCAATGGTGGAAAGGTAATTTTTGCAGAGATTATCTCTCAAAATAGAATTTTGGTCGAGCATATGGGCTAAGGGAAGTTGATGGAGTCCTTTTTGGTCCCTTCCTCAATAATGAAGGGTGGAGGGTCCCTTTGCAGTCAACTCTTGCCTCCTACATCCTTCCTCATGTTCATCCATCCCATTGAATCAACTAGCTGCTCAATTTGTCTAATTGGAAGATATTAAGTTGTGGGGTGACCCCCCACCCATGTGGGAGGTCATCCTATTGTGTCCTGATGTGTACAATCGACCTGAAAGTTGTATTTTTGGGACTGTT